TGTGTGTGAAAAAACTCTGCAGCTGGGTAGTATTTGTAATTATAAGTACTATCCTGTTACAGAGTTCATTAGTTTTGTGCACCCTAATAGAGGCATATGTGTAGAAGCCGAAATACTTACTGCACAAGTAATTAGTCAACTTCACAGTAAACATCTTGTGTAGACTGCCTGCTATCTAGACACAGACTAGAAGACAATCCCTATCTTCGAGACCATATAATCTTGCCTAGAAGTGCACGTCAGCTTAATGCAAAATGATCAGTGTACGAATCACAGCTTGTATACACATTTTGCAGGCTCATTATAGAATCAGGGGCTTAGCTAAAGTAAGAGGCAACAGCGAGTGACATGAACAAAACTGGGGGGCAGGTGGGGGGAAGTGGAAACTTCATTTTTTCTGTGAAGTTTCATTCCAGTATCTAAAATGAAGTCAGGCTTCTCTGACTCCTAATGGGCAAAACATCCTATTTGACTTATTGTGGTGATCTTGTACTTCAAACCTTTACTCATATAAGTAGTTCCTACTTATTTCAAATTGTTGGTGTTATAGTTATGCTAAGGACTATAATGCAGTTATTTGTGTGAGAAATGAGGTTTCCATGCCGTATTCAGCAGATTACCAATCTGCCACATTCTTGCATGGTTTTCACCGAGTGATTATTCAATATTCTTCACCCATAATGGCTAAAGAAGTCTGACTTTTTATTGATAAGAGGAAAATAAACAAAAATAGTACTTTTACTATAATGTCTGCCAGCTCAGGCCCTAAATCGACATGTTATTAAGTGACCAGAGAAAGCAATGGGTTTTTTTTTCATACATAGGATGTTTGCTTTGTTCATACTGATTGACAGAGAAAACAAATGTAGGTTATCTTTCCTCTACACTTCAGCAATTTCAATATGTCACGTCAGTCTCAGTGTGTCATTCTAGATAGGAAGGATATGAATAGCCCTGCAAAATTACAAAATAAACCCCTCTGGTTTCATGGGTTTATAGACAATTTAATAAAAAAAAATCTAGTAGCTGCTATGCCACAATGTAAAATAAAACACAAATCTGTGGCTGAGCCAAGGTTTCCAACAAGACCTCCTCTGTTAAGCGACAAATAAAGATTTGCAAAAAGAAAAGTACTCAACAATTCTTTCCTATGCTTAATTTCAACTTCTTTGTGTTATGCTCACCCAAGGGAAGCAGCAAAGGAGAAAATTGTATTTGAATTAATCAAAGCTATGGAAACACACTAATTCATTCATATTGAAGTCAACTTTACTGAAGATACCCATTCATTGCCTGATCCGAAGTTCACTAAAATCAACGAAAAGTCTGCTACTGACACAATCTGAACTTTCCATTGACAAGAAAAGATGTAAAACACTGATTACAACTGGAATGTTCACCCTAATAGCTGCATATGTCTTGGACATAATGATAGCCCAGTTTCTCTGAAGGTTGACTGAAAAGATTGGTACAATATTTGCTCCAGAGTTATGACACTACATCTATGAATAAGGCAACTTTGAAATTCACGTTTGAGCTACAGATTTTTCCAATGAATCATTTATTTCTTGAAAAATTCAGTTTTGGGGCAATGACTTTGCAGTCAAGCCCTGATCAGGTCAACTGAACGAGACTGACAAAGTCCTGTGATACTAAGTGGCCTGGACAACAACAGATACTGTACACCAGGAAGTGGCGCATGATGATTAAGTGGTTCACAAGGTGACATTAAGCAATAAAAGACTACTTTCATTCTGAATCTGAATTTTGTCCTGCGTGTCCACAAGATGTTTTCTTGCATTTCAGTCATTTCACAAATAGCAGTGTCACTGTTCTAAATTTGGAGAGACTACTGTTTGTTCCTTACTCTCTTTTTGAGGTTACATTAAGTCCAATTGTGACATTTATTTAATGTCTAACATAAAAAATGAAGTAAAGCCCACAAAAGTTATACTATGTTAAAAAATATATACTAATGAATTGGAGAGAGAAGGGGCACAAAAGAGCTGGGAGGGCTTAAGGCCCTGAAACATTCCTCGCACCTTCCATGGAACCACACATGAGCTTCAGCACTCTGACCCTTTTAGTAATTTTTGTGTCTTTTTAATATGTTTCACAATCACATTCAGGATCTGGCAGTACGTTAAATTCTCAGGGGCTGAATAAGGCTCTGAGAAGCATATCTGACAACTATAAAAAATATATAATTTTTTGCTGTTGTATATCATTACATATTTCTCCAACAAGCCAAATTACTTTGCTAATGATTGTCTGCTCACTGACACGATCTTGGAACATCATTCAATAATTGGGACACCAAGTGGCATATTTATTCAGCAGAGATTGCTTAGGTTGTTGACTTTAAGTGGCTTGTGACAATATCTGGAGTGACAACTAATGGGTTTTGGGTTTTTTTGCATTACTGTGTGTGGTATAAAAATTAGGGATATTATGCAGGTTTAGTTATATTAGCAAATTCAAGTCAAATTCAGTCAACCTTTAGTAGAAAAAAAAAAAAGGAAAAAAAACCCAGACGACAGAAACATTTTTAAAACAAAAACACTTTCCCCATTTTTTGTTCAGACCAATATTTTTATATTTGAAGACTCTACTTTTAAAAGATTTTAAAAATGGTTCATAAGCCTAAACGTAAAAGTGCATGTTCCATTTTGCGCAAAATATTTTAGTCAACCCAAGATACTTTTCCTGATTTTTCAATGAAGTGGGGAGAAAAAAATCAGTTCTACACAAAACTGTAATTCTATGTCCTCAATGGTGTCAATAAGGCATACATGGTAGTGATAGATCTTTTGAAGCAAAATAGTTACAGCACTCAAACTGCATCGTTTTCCAAATAACATGAATAGAAACACTACGGAAGCTGTAAGAAAAATAAATTACCTGTGTGTTGCCCTGTGCACCATTCCATACTATGTTGGAAAGAGTATTGTATTGTTGGGAGGAGGGGAGAAGAGCAAGAACTGTGGCTGTTCTGTTAACCCACTAGCTGCAGGACGTGGTGCCCATCCAATTCAAGAAGCAGGGTTGTGCTGTTTGGCTCCTACAGAATTGTATTCTCTGCTCTCCACATTACTTCACTTAAAACACGTACCTCAATTTCCTCAACTAATTTTCGGGGGGAAAGGTGCATGCCATATGTAAGTATATACAGTATTCAGGCACTTTCCCCATAGATGTTCTCTATGTTTCCCATATATAATAAAACAGCTGCTTCAGTCATACATATTATTTACACACACACACACATATAATATATTATATTATAAAAGCCTTAGTCTTTCTGTCTGTAATGCTTTATTCGCACTCTGACTGGTTGCTTTGGCTACTCAGCACTGCAAAGCAGTGGCAGGAAGCTGCAACTGGACCCATGTCCTGGTGAGCGAAGGAGGCAGGGGGAGCTCTGATTTTTCATGATAAAAAAAAAATTAAACACCAAAATACATAGGTATCTAGAATTTATTTTATTATAATGATTGAGGCACTGGTAGGCTTCAAAAGTGCTTTAAAATTGTAAAAATATCAATAAAACATTGTGTTCAACTGATACTTATATATATATATAGATATAGATATATTATATACACACACATATATGTAGTGGCATTTATTTTAATTGTGGAAAAACAGGGGTTTGGGGGTTTTTAATCAGATAATTTTGGATTTTTTTAACAGGGAAAACAGGATCCCTGGCAATCACAAGCTGGTATAAATTAGACTGCTCTTAGTAGGTTAAAATGGGCCTCAAACAGCCCCAGAATTGGGAATTAAGAGGGTTGAAAGATAGGATAAAGTCATCTTGATTCTTCATGGTGCCAGTATTTGTTTAGAGTGTTACTCCAGTGCACCTAATAAATTGAATCCATTAGCATTACCAAGCATTTAGAAAAGAAAACAACATAGGAAGGGGAGGAACAAATAACATTTACATAAGTCTTAGAAAGCCTTGTTTCTAAGATCATGCAACCAAAAATAGCAGGCTGAGAAATTTATACAAACTCTCAAGGTAACCTCTCACATTAGAAAGTTTGATTAACAACCCTAGAGTGGCACATATTAAAAAATATTGTAAGAAATGGAACATAAGAATTACTGCACTGAATCAAAATGGTCAATCAAAATTGTCTAGCATGACAGGCCAACTGCTACAAAAGATACTGCTGGAAACCTCCATAATACTTGATGTAAGAAATGCCATCAAGTACAAAATCCTTTCTTGTTCCTGTACATCACAGCACCCTGTGATGGAGGGACCTTGTTTTCCCTGCTTTCACTTGAAGTGTGCTCCTAGTTTTCCTGGGTTTGTGCCTTGCAGCTGTGTGAGGGTTTGGAATGGACACTATTTAAGAGTCACTGGATAAATGGGATAATGTGAATAAAGGGGACTGATCCAAGGGGTTTCTCTCAGTCTTATGTTCCAAGGACACATACGTTCCTCCCAGAGACATAAGGTTTTAAAATTGACCTTCTGGAAAACTACAAAGATTATAAAAATCATAGGGTTGTAAGGGATTGCAAGGGTCATCTGGTCTAAGATCTTGTACAAATGCAAAAATGTTATTCATAATCATCCCTGTTCAATGATTATCCAGTCTTCTCTTGAAAACCTCCAGCGAAGGAGATTCCACAGTTTCTTTGGACAATCTATTCCACTGCCTTACTATTCTAAGAGTAAGTAAGTTGTTCATGCAGTATCATCTTTACTGTGATTTAAACTATCACATCATGCCCTTCCCTCTTCAGTGAGGGAGAACAGTTGTCCTCTCTTTTCTTTATGGCAGCCTTTCAAAATATTAAAACTACTATCATGCCCTTGTAATGAATCTGCAAGTTGTGCTAGGTTTCTATGTTTCTTAGCATTGTCATGAAGCAGAGAAGTCCATCACAGGTAAAGTATTCAAGTACTCTACTTATATTTACGATGAACAATGAGTTGCTTCCTTTTAGTGACTTTAATATACAGCATCATCTTTTTTCCTTACCGTCCCTTAAGATGGTATATGTTCTTGCTTCATGGGACGTGTACTCATGTGAATCTTCAAGAAAAACAAAGGAGAAAATACTTGGCTTATTTGAATACCTTTTTAACTGGTACCCATAGGCAAAAGCAAATAATGTATATACAGTAGAACCTACATATCTCTAGCACGGCAGCACTACTTTCTTCTTGGATGCAGCTTACTGTTTCAATGGAGAGTGGTGCTAAAACCATAAGAGTAATTCTTGATTAGTGTTTATCCTACAGATGTTAGCTCAACTATGCTCGAAGAGCTGCCTCTACCATGCAATTAACCCACTTAGTCCACTTGGATAAAGGATGGCAAGCAGGGCTTATATGACAGTGCACCGACAACTTCTCCAGTAGCCTTTAAAAACAGAACAAAATAATGGTTTGCCATAACCGCATTGCCAAGCCTGCTTTGCTGCCTGGTGCCAGAGAAAAATCTCATCCATCAGTTTGTCTGCCAGGCACCAGTTGTAGCCATCTGTGCGGGAAGACGTCCCCTCCCAACCCTTGGAAGAAAATCAGGGAAAACTACGATGTAAGCATTCCCCTGAGAGCAGCTCACTAATGACCCAGTGAAATCAAGCCTTACATATTTCCAGAGCACCATCTATGTACTGAAATGGACCACAATATTGAGTTATCGCAGTCAAGTGAGAAAAACACTTGTTGGAATAACACAGCAAACTGGCTTGGCCCCAGCTGGGCACACAATCTTTATAAAACATAAAACCACAGATGGAGCACTTCATGTAGAAACTCTTGGACCTGGAGTTTTCGGCCATCTGACTTTATCCTCCGGGCCTTATTCAGACTAATTTTATTCATTCAGTCCTTCGGCACTGGTAAGCCAACTCAAACAATCTTCTCTTTGTTTTTATGGCAGATGAGGATACACTAGGAAACTATAACTAAAGACAGAAATTCCACAAGTAGAGAAAATTCTTGTTCAAGATAGTTTTAGTTATCTTCAATGACTCCCTGTGTGAATAGAGATACAGAGTTGTCTTTGTAAGTCACCTACAGTTTAAAAAATGTGTATTTTCCAGACCATCAAACTATAGCTGTCTACATAGTATTCTAGAAAGTAGTACACTTAAACATGCCATCCTGCTTTGCACAAGTTGTCTCCTTAACTGGAAACAACATGATCATGATCCCAAGATGCTGTGGGTGGGTTTATTAGCATGGGAGCAGGCTAAATGGCCCTGTTACTCAGCAGTGCTAATTAGCTGCTCAAAGTGCTATTTTGCTTAGTAACACACTAAGTTACACTGCATCTGGTATGGGAAGAATCCTGCATGGAGTTAACACAGTGTGTTTGAAGACAACACTGCCTGACACCATAGCTTATTATATAAGAATGGCCTATGTACAGCTCAGAGGCAAGGGTTGTGGGGGTGATTATTTACGTCATTACTGGATAAAGAGGAAGGAGCCTTTTCACATTTGTAAAACCCTAACGACAGCAGAGATTTACCTCTGATGCACCTGGAAGAATTCAAACCTGCTCAAAAGTAGCTTGAAGTTTTCAGGCTAGAGAAATACAGTGGAATGGGGGTGGGAAGAGGTGTAGCCTGGGTCCTGTTATTTTCTTCTGTGTTAAGTAGCAGAAGTGATCAATTATACAATGCTGTATCCCTTAAAGCAGTGAAACATGGTTTGTATGGTTCCCCTCATGGAGAAGATGTTTTGTTTCTTGTAACTAATCTAATCAAATTAACTAATCTATACTTCCTTGAGGATGGTGCAGCTTGACACTACCCACCACATAGGGCTGTGCACAAGATGCTCAACTGAGCCCATAATGAGAGCAGTTTATAAAGACTGCAAGGGGTAAAAGGACAATTGCTTCCTCAATTATTACCAAACATTTTAAGCAAATGATACAGTAAAGTGTGAAGACATTCTGCAAATTAACTGATATTCCGGCAGACTGAGATTCAAGATTACTAATTATATGATTTCACAGAAAAAGACCAATCCAGCTCTCAAGCACTGAAAAGAACATTTGACATACAGACTTTATTCTCCATCTCTCTCTTAAGCGTGCACACACACATACACAAACACACTTGATGGGCCCTACGCCAAAAATCTCAGCTCAGCAAGAAGCAACAGCACATGTTTCTGAACAGACTTCAGGATACAACAGAGAAAAAAGACTGTTTTTCTTGTCTTCAGTACTACAGCAGACAGCTCATAGTTTATACATTTATTTACACAATTTCTGATAAATATCTTTTACATATTTCCTAAATAGATATTTATTGTTAATTTATTTTATTTCATAAATGTGACCTTCACTGATTCAGGGCATGTGGCCAACGGCACAAAAGCCAAGCATAGACATTACATGTTTATCGGTATAAGTGATCAGAAACCAGTCTATACCCGTAACAGAACAGAAGTCCAGAACACAAAACAGATCTATACCTGTAACAGAACAGAAGTTCAGCACATACAGACTGATTTAAAAATGGCAGAAGCTGGTCTCAATTTTGCCCCCCACCCCACCAAAGGGCAAATGGGCGTTCTGTTCGCTAATGATCTAAACTATGCTACTCACAGAAAACCACATAACTGAGATCAGTTCAACCTCCAGCTTTTTAAATGTCTGTACCTAGCCAAATACAAAATACTGAATCAGGAGCTCACACAAAAGATTCTGCTCCAGTTGGTCCACACCTCCAAAAATTATTGCCTCAACATGAATGGAGAAAAGAGTCTGTATTAACATCATCCAGACGAGTGCGGACGTGCAGTATGTGGCACCTCAGGCCTGTTTGCAGCACTGCACCCTACACTGCTACTTTGCCACACCAAAACTCATGACAAAAATAAGTGGGGTGGCGTATGCGGCAGCAGCTTTCACTACCCAAATCCAGAGCCTGGCTGACCGGAGCCACACTCCAGATGCCAGCCAGGCTCCCAGCTGCAGGAGTGCTGCTGCTGCACCTCCCCAGGGCCCCCACAACTCTAAATAAGGCTGCTGGGGTCAGTGCAGTTGCTGGCCCCAACCTCTCCTACCCAATCCTGGGGTAACCTGCTGCGCACCAAAACACACATGGCATGGACATTCCCCAGGGACAAGTAGTAGCAGCACAAAGCGTGCCACTGCTACTTGTCCCTGGCAAAACAAACAACCACGCTCATCTGGATGCAGCTAGGCTGTCCTAACTGAGACAGAAGTTAAATTCCAGAATAAAAAGTCACTTAGAATATCCTGCTTCCAGCTACCTAATACTTTTATATTTAGAGACTGTTATTCAAGTACTTCAGTGAATCTCAGATACCACAATGGTAAGAGTAACTGAGGACTAGTAAAGGGCATTTGGGGTCTCCTGAAATGGGCATATAGCTTTTGGGGTGGAGCTAGAGGGGGTGCAGTGCTGCAGGCTCACCCTGCTTTTGGACCATGCCATAGGAGGAGCAGCCAGGGCCTTTTTTAAGTTCCCAAACCAGGTAAGAATCCCTGCCCTGTCTCAGCACCACACTACCCTTCCATCTCCCCCATGCTCAGTGGCATGTTCCCACCCTCCAATTCCCCTTCGTGTCCTGCCCACTACTACTGCTGTCCCCACTGTCTCTAGCTTTCCCAGGGGCAGGGAGAGCTCCAGAGCCACTTCTGCCCCACTCCAGACAGACTGTGGAAGGAGTTGGGCTTAGCCATGGCAGGTGGGTTCCCCTTCCCTGCCTGATACCCCTGATTGTTCCTCGCCAACCCAGGAGCAGACTCAGGGAGAAGAAAAAACTATCTGCCACCACTGCCGCTGTCCGCAGCTGGGCACTAGTCCCCACACAGCCTGACCTGACTGGGGCAGGATTGACTCTGGGTCTTCCCTCACCTCTGTCAGCCAGAGGCAATAGGGAAAGCAGCATATGTGGGCGGGGGAGGGGATGAATAAGGGAGAAAACACACAGCATGCGGGGGAAGGAGGGAGGGAGAGATTTTTACCTGATTTACAGACTTAAAAAGGCCCTCGCTACTGTTCCCATGGCATGGTCTGCCATGGCTGACTGGTGTTGCCTTACTCAGGGGGGGCATGTGCCCCCCTGCAACCAGTCCTGCCAACCAAGGGAAGGGTCCTCCCGCAGCCAATCTTGCTGCCCAGGGAAGGTCCCCTGTGGCCAATTCTGCTGACTAGGGGGTGGGGGGGAGTCCCCCTGTGGCTGATCTCACTGTCTGGAAGTACCCCCGCAGCCCATCCCACAACGGCCAATCGCTGCGACCACTTTCAGGACCAACTGTAGCCATCGGCCGACACTTGCAAAGGGGGCACCAGTGCTCCTGCCTGCCCCCAACCCCCATCCATTGCCTAAGCAGTAAGTATGGCTGGTCAGGGGGTGCACCAGCACTCTCAGGGGGTGCATGTGCACCCACATGCATCCCCTATGCATAGCCACCGTGGTCTTCCCACCCCAGTGGAGGGGGGGAGAAGACGCTGGGAGCAGGTGTGCAACCACCCCTGTACCAGCAGCCTGCTCCTGCACACCCATTTCAAAATCTTGGATCCACCCATGTATAAGTGGTACTCAGAATACCCATGCTCTGTTTCCAGCTTAGTCATTAGCTTAATGTGAGATCTTGCAAAAGGCACTAGGGTTTAGATCCACAAAGATATGTAAAGGCAATGAACTCCAAGTGATTTCAGGCCTAGGACAAAATCCAGACTGGCTCTTTAGACATCTCCAACATATGTCAGTATGCTGAAAAATTAGGTACCTGGCTCCTGAAGAAATATTCCAAGTAGCAGAGTTAGGCACCTAAGTTCTTTCTACAGTCAATGGGAGAGAGACATTTCTAAAAGGCAGGTCCATAAAACTGCACATGTTAAGCAGAGAGACACCTCAAACTAGTCAATAGGAAATCCTGACCACAAGAGTTGTATGAATTCATGATCATTTTTGCCACTCATATGCTTGGCTAGAGGCTGTACATTAAGCATGATGATATCAGCATGGTGATATCACCTTCTATATACCTTATCTACTTGCATAGCGCACAGTTTTCCCCAAAAATCAGCCCTC